AACCAATTCGGTTTTATATTCAAATTCTAATTCGGAATCTGGGTTTTGCTTAGGTAGTGATGTGACTAATGATGCAATTCATGTCAGTGGTGAGATTCAAATTTGGTTTCAGTTCAGTCAGAATGAGGAATTGGTCGGTGGGAATCTCTGTCATGGTTCTTACATTGATTTTCATCATCCGTTATGAACAATCTGATCACAAACTTCCAACGAATCACACTGTGGATGATGCTTCTATAGAAGGAGAGAGTGTTCAGGAACCTGCAAAGAAGAAGCCACATTTCATGACTTTGGAAGATCTTGATTACCTGTTTTCAAACAAGAGGTTTTACGGAGAAGAAGAAGATGATGAGTTGAATAATGGATTTCTTGTATGGTCTCGTATGCGTCCATTTATCGAAAGGCCCGATGCTTTGCCTGAAACGGCTCAGGGGATCGAAGAAGCTACATTGGCAATGAAAGATTTGGTTTTTCTGATCTATAAAGAGAAAAGAGCTTCCTCTTCTGATATGGTCTCTAAAGAAATTAGAAGAAACTGTCCGGGTTTTGTCGCTGCATTTGATGGGGATTTGTCTGGTTTAAGGCCTGTACTTGAGCTTCCTTGTGGTTTGATTGAAGGTTCTTCAATAACTTTGGTTGGTATTCCTGATGTACATTCTAGAAGCTTCCAAGTTCAGCTCGTTGGCTCGGGAGAAGCCCGTCGTCCAATCATCTTATGTTACAATGTGAATTTTTCTAAGCCATTTTTAGTGCAAAATACATGGACTGAAAAGCTTGGGTGGGGTAATGAAGTGCGGTGCCCATTGCATGGACTGGTTAAGAATCAAATAGGTAACAAAACTCTTGACTTCACATATCTTTGCTCTTTTATTTTATCTTGAAGGATTGTTGAAATGTCTCTTGGCAACCATTTGTAGTTGATGATCTTCCTCTCTGCAACGAACAGACCGATAGAATCGTTTTGGAAGAGAGTTCCAACGAAGATGCAGTGATGGATTTGGTTATTGGAAATGCTGATTTTCCATTTCTCAAAGGGAGTCCCTTCACTGCCACATTGTGGACTGGCTTAGAAGGTTTTCATATGACGGTTAATGGACGTCATGAGACTTCATTTGCTTACAAGGAGGTAATTTGTAAAAAAAGACTATACAAAATTATTTTGAGGTTTTTTTGCTTTGTTTGAAACCAACGTATCTGATTTGCAGAAGCTCGGGCCGTGGTTAGTTAGTGCTGTCAAAGTCTCAGGTGGTCTGAAATTGTTATCTGCCTCAGCCACAAGACTGCCCGTTACCGATGATCATGCTTTTTTACCCATAGAAGAGAAACTTAAAGCTCCACCTCTTTCCGGAACAAGAATAGCATTGTTGGTGGGTGTTTTCTCCACTGGAAATAATTTTAAGCGCCGTATGGCATTGAGAAGAACTTGGATGCAATATGAGGCAGTAAGATCTCGCAAAGTCGCTGTTCGATTTATCATTGGCCTTGTAAGTACTTTTGAAACTGACAATTTCTCCTTGGATTTATACATTTCTTAGCAATAACTTGGCGGTTTTTTTTTGCTCAGCACACCAATGTAAAAGTCAATTTAGAGATGTGGAGAGAAGCTAAGGCATATGGAGACATTCAGTTTATGCCTTTTGTTGACTACTATGGTCTACTTAGCCTGAAAACAGTCGCGCTTTGCATTCTCGGGGTAAGTTACAACTTACACAGAGCATACAATTACAAACTGGGAGAGAAATCCTTCTAATGTTTCTCCATGTTGATACAGACAAAAGTCATTCCAGCAAAATACATAATGAAGACTGATGATGATGCGTTTGTTCGGATCGATGAACTGCTATCGAGTCTACAAGAAAAACCGTCTAATGCCCTTTTGTACGGTTTGATATCATTTGATTCATCACCTGACCGTGAACAAGGCAGCAAATGGTACATTCGTAAAGAGGTGACTTTTCGATATCTTCTCAACATTTTGGTAAAGAGGTGACTTCTTAAAGACTCATATCTCGTTCTCTTTGTGAAAGGAGTGGCCTCTAGATTCATATCCTCCATGGGCACATGGCCCTGGCTACATCATCTCTCATGATATTGCGAAATTTGTGGTGAAGAGTCACCGTCAAAGAGATCTTAGAGTGAGTTTTGTATATTCATCATAAGAGTTAAAGATATAACTAATTTGAGGTATGGTAAATAACAATGTTCTTATTTTGTTTTGCGGAAAGCTTTTCAAACTCGAAGATGTTGCGATGGGGATGTGGATTCAACAGTACAACCATATAGTAGAAAGAGTGACGTACATCAATGACAAAAGATTTCATAACAGTGGGTGTAAATCAAATTACATTCTTGTTCATTACCAAACTCCTAGACTTATTTTATGCCTTTGGGAGAAGCTGCAAAAAGAGAGCCAAATTGTTTGCTGCCAATAGATCTCTCAATTTGGTTTGCATTTATCAAATATATATAAAAACTTTATGAAATCGACAGTTTTAGAATATACGTTTTTGTCATATTGTTTTATTTATTTGGATATGTTATGATATTCATAAGATTTCTATGTATTTTTTCACCACCTTCCATTAGAGATTTTTTTTTGTTTTCTTCTTAATTTGTTTTCTAACGAAAACAGTATGAGTTACTAATGCAATTTATGTATTACCGTTGCT